TGCCAGATCGGCGGCCACCCCGCCCCCGTCATCATGTGGTTCCGAGAGGACTACCGGATCGAGAGCTCGGCGGACTTCCACATCGGCTACGACCGCGACGGCCGCGCCCGCCTGTTGATCCGCGAGGCCTTCGCCGAGGACAGCGGCCGCTTCACGTGCACCGCCACCAACCAGGCCGGAACCCTCAGCACTTCCTGCTACCTCCTGGTCCAGGGTCAGTCCATCCGCGGCGGAGTCACGATTGTTCATCTCGCTGAAATCTTAGCGCGGGAACAGTCCGCGGCCCCGTCCGCATGCGCCGTTCGAGCCCGGTTCGGCCCCACGTGTCGCCTGGGGACGCGGTCGTGCTCGCTGTGCTTTTGTGAACAGACAATGAAGCCCAGAAAAAGAAAAAAAGTCACCCGCGAGGTGACACGCGCGTCGCTCGGTTCTCACGGAGACTTTGCCTTTCAGTGTCCGAGGACACGGAGAGCCGAGAGGATGTCGCCGACGAAGCGGAAGAGAAACTGTGAGTTGATGGCCACGCCGGTGGCTCGGACGCCCGAGCGCTTCTGCGGCGCCGAGTCGCAACGTGAAATGTTTCCGCAGAGTCTCCCGGGAAGAAGAAAGCACGTCCCAGGTGAGCGCGGTTGAGCCCGAATCCCGCGCCGTCGCTCCTTTCTTCGTCAAGACTCCCGGCGTCCAGAAGCTGGTCGAGGGAGCAAGTGTGGTCTTCCGATGCCAAGTCGGGGGGAGCCCCGCGCCGCACGTCATCTGGAAGAAGGGCGGCGTCCCGCTCACCGGCGGATACAGGTCGGTCGTCGCTCAACTCGGCTCGTGAGGGCTGACCTTTCACCGTCAAACCTCGTTGCGGAGAACAAACGCGCGGCAAAAAAAAGCACCTGAGGGATCGCAACGCTGCCCTTCTCGCTTTGGATTTCATTTCAATGATTTCGGTCTAAAATGTGCATTCGTTTTCATTCTCTCCCCATTTGAATTCAAATTTGCAATCCGCAGGGGTGGAAAACAACTTCAGGAAGGAATTTTTCAAATGATTTGAAACTCGGCGCTCTGATCAAATTCAATTGGAATGGAATTGTTCTCTCTCGTCAGCAGAGGAGAGGGCCTTTCCACTTCTTCAAATGGAAATCACTTTGGTTCGCTTCGTTGGAGTGCCGTAAGCCCTTCGAGGCCCAGGTCTCGAACCCCAAACTTCCAAAGCGGAGTCTGTCACCAAAGGCGTTTTACTTGGATGTCATGACTCAATCCAGTAAATGAAAAAAAAACAAAAATCCAGTTTCATCGGGTCAGAAGCGCCCACCGTAGAGCCAAAAGCTACGACTTGATGTCACCAATATATTGGGGAACGACCACTCGTCGCCTTCCGCGACGACGTTGACGCAAAGGCGCCCAGCGGTCGGTGTGAGCGGCGTGACCCCATGGCAAGTGTCTTCTTGCAGATACCAAGTTGCCTCCCACAAGGAGAGCGGCGTTTGCCAGCTGCTCATGTCCATGACTTTTGCCGACGACGCCGGAGAATACTGCGTCCTTGCCAGGAACCGGCTCGGAGAGGCGTCCGCCACCGCCAGGCTGCTGGAGGAAGGTCGGTCCCGGAGCCAAAGCGCGTTGGCCTCAAGTTGACTTTTGCCAAGCGGACCCTTCCCCTTTGTGGAACGCGTTTCGTCCAAAAGACCGCTTGACTTCACCGTTTGCAGGGTATCCCTCGCGTCGCCCCGAAGCCTCGCCATTGTCGCGCTCGTTGCACCGTCCCCGCTGCCGGGCGAGGCCGGCGAACGAGTCGTTTCCGTACCGAGCGGCCGGCGAGCCGCCCGCTGGTAAAATGGCGCCGTCGCGGCCAGCTCAGCCGTGGCGTGGGGCCAATCTTTGGCTCGCCGTAAGCGAGCGACCGCGACAAAGGCACGGCAGAAAGCTCCTCCGGTGCCTTTCAAGTTTCTTGGAACACCCCGTCAACCCTTGCCCTCGTTGTGGCCGCCGCAACCAGGGACGTCAATTGGAAGGGCTCGTCAAGCGGCCACTTTGGTCCCATCGCTCCCGCTCACCAAAAGTTTTGGCGATAAGCGCGCCAGCCGGACGAGCGACTAGCCGCGCGGACGTGACGGCTTCGGTTGCAACTGAAGCTTGTGCAATGTTTCCCTTTCAGATGAATACGAAGCCTATGTGAAGAAACAAGAGGCGAGCTCTCAGATGGCAGTCGAAGCGCCGGCGCGGGAGCCCCTGGTCGGAGACGTTGCCCCCGCCATGACCGGAAGGGACAAGATGAGCGCCACGCTTATTTCTGGAGAGGTAGGCGGGTCCACTTGTCCTTTGCGCTCAGCTGCAATTCAAGTGCTGTCCCGCTGTGCTAAGTCGAGTCCTTCCCAGTCTCGTTTCATTTGGA